TTTGCCTGTTACTGTTATTCATCTGATTTTTTTATTTCAGCTGGCAAGTTAATGTGATTGTGGTTTGTAGGAGTAATTTTCCAGGTTGAGCTATAGTTTCAAAGTAGACCTAAAGATGTCATGAGATACTTTCTGTTTGAAATTCAACATGAGCGATGTTATTGGATCAAGCAGCAAAACCAGTTGTGAATAACCATTGCAGCAAAAATGCCTTGTTTGGCATCAGCGGGTTAGTGTGCAAATGAGTAGAGCGATCCGTAGTCAGTTGGAAACCAAAGGCAAAGAGCACCTTTTTGGATTATTTTAGAGATTTTTCAGCTTAAGTGGTTTGCTTCTGTCATCGTCAATATCTTGGAGCTACTTTCTTAGGTGGCATTTTACACTTACGCTTTAGTAATTTTGCTTCCAATATTCTTGTCTCAGTGACTGTTATGTAAATATTGTATAATAGCTTTTATTTTCAAATTTATCAGCAGACTCTTTTTTTGTCAGGTGAGTAAACATCATATATATAAACTTTTGGGTGTCTGAATTGAGGTGAAAAGGTGTGTGCTGTCTGAAGAAGTAAATACTGTTTTCTTTTTTAAATGGAAACGTTCTGAAAAGTTTGAAGCTTATGTTTCTGTGCTTTAATACTGTTACTAAATTATTTTATATATGAAAAGAATTTATTAGTAGTTTGAAATTGATTGAAATTAAATCCTTACTGTTGTCAAATTTTTAATTGCCTTAGCAATTGTATTTTAAATTTAAGCTACCTTTCTATTTAGATTATCTTTTTGAGAGAAGTATCTTACTCATTCTTCAAGTGTATTGAAATGAATTTAAAGCACCTGAGTGCAAATACTGTTATGGTTCATAGAAGCACTACATATTATGTTTATTTTTTTCCAAATTCAGTGTTGTTCTCATGTCTGATCTATTTTATGGCCTCTGTATGAATACCTTGTGCTTTTCTGTTCATTGCTTTTAGAATGCAAAATGCCTCCCAAATATCAGAAGTAATTGCTCTGCTATAACTCTGCAGAGTTTTTAGGGGGAAACAAAGAATGATGGGTAGTACCATCACACATACTTAAGCTGATCATCACAGTATGTGGTCTGATTTGAAACAGTCTTGAGCATCTGAAGGGAAATTGCCATGTGTGAAATCCTCACTCTTGGGTTGCCTGCTTTCAGGTATATCATGGGAGCCTTGAATTCTTTTGAAAGTGTGATTTGTTACCTGTTGCTCTGATGTGCTCCCTGTGAACATGTCAGCGCTTGTTCTCTGAGAGTGGGAGAGTGCTCTGACAGATCTTTCAGATGGGTGGTTTCCCGTGTCCCCTTCGGTTGATGGCAAAGCCTGTTCTTTCAGGCTGTCACGGGAGTAGGAGAGTCTGATACTTTTGGTGCCTTTAGCACTCAGCTGCAGACATTGTCCACATTGGACCTTGAAAATGGTAATGCTGGCTTGGATGGAGATAGCTTTTGAGCTGCTGTCTTTATACTATTATTCCATTGTATTTATTACATTACAACATAGTAGCTGCTTGGATGAAAATGGTAATGCTGGCTTTTGAGCTGCTGTCTTTATACTATTATTCCATTGTATTTATTACATTACAACATAGTAGCTAACAGTATTGTATGCTTTCGTATTGTGTTGCTTCAGTCCCTGTCTTTCCTTGGCCCATTTTTCATTTGTTCATTTCATGAAAGAGACTCCCACTCACCTTGGTCCTAAATTTGTTGACAGACTTTTTCAGAGTCTGATTCAGGAAAGTGCTTGAGCACACATATGACATCAAATGTACATGCAACACTTCAGGCTTTATGGGATTTTTTTTACATACTTGATACCCATCTGCCTCCCCCGTGGGCTGAAGCATCTCTAGTCTGTGGTCACACTGCAGTGCAGCGGGTGTTGAACTGTTGTGCGGATCAGGCTGTTAGAAATGGGTAACTCCTGGATCCTCATAACTCATCCATTGGCTAGTGTAGATTTTGCAGGGGTGATTGAGCTGCAGCCAGGCCAATACTGTGTGAGCACACACAGGGTGTGTGCAGTTGGGCTTTATACAGGAGCTGTCCCCTGGACTCCCTGTGTGCAGTTGGTCTTTATACAGGAGCTGTCCCCTGGACACTTTCAGGCTCTTCTGGGGCAGTCGCAAGCTAATAGAGCCTCAGCATATGAATGGTGTTAGCATTGGTACCTTACTGCTGGCTCAGATTTCCATGATGACCACAGTTATCCATGAAGAATGTTCCTTCTGTATGCTGGAAGATTCAAGTACATTGTTTTCCAAGAGGCAGCACAGCGAGGTGCAATCTGACATGCTGAGGTCCTGCATGGTCACCTCTACGGCCCTGCTCTGTGACACTTTTCAGTTTTAAGCTTGCCTTTTCTGTCTGCTTGCTGGAGATTTACCACTGCTGATACTTTTCCTTCCCCAAGAGGGTATAGTCTGCTGAATCTCAAGCTTTTCTTTGGGCCCCTTGAAAGAGATGTCCTCAAACAAGATGATGTCCATTTCCCATGGATTGAAAGTTTATCTGCTTGAAGTTAATTCTGTTGGATGCTCAGCAGATGATGTGGCACATTTGGATCTGAAAGGAGTGAGAGATTTGAGATTGTCATTCTCCAGAGTGGAGCAGGCACAGCTGGTTACCACTTTCATGCAGCAGCACTTGTTCTGTCAGGGTTATGCTCTGTGTGTTCATTGGAACGCAGTCTTGGAAAGCAGGTCTTGACTTGCCTCTACTGGGTGTACCTGACTGTAGAGCTTTCCTCTTGGCTGCTTTGGCAGCATTTACAAGCTCTTTAAAATGCTTGTATTCATGTAAAGGAAGCGTCTGCTGATATTTAATCTCCACTTAAGAATAATTAAAAATCATACTCTAATGAAATACAGGTTTCTTCTATGTGATGGATTGGAAAACAATGTTCTGCTGGAGCTATTTGCATCTGTTGGGTTCCACTGGTGTAAGGCAGCCTAATAGTGGGCTTTAATCATGATGTGAACCATGTCCAATTGCACTGCTTTTCCAGATGAAATTGGTAAAGCTTGGATGTATAGTACACATCTAGAAAGTTGGGACTGTATTGAAAACGACCACCCGTGTCCTGTCCGAGGCTTCCAGTCCAGAGCTGGCTGCAGGCACGCTGTCTGCTTTCACCTTGCCTACTCCTTTTAAATCAACTTTGCTAATCATTTACTTAATTTCTGTCCAACTTCTGGGCGTTGGAAATTCTGAAATTGAGACTTATGTCTGTCTGCTCTGCCTTTGCTGCCTGCACGAAGTGACAACACTTGCTGGCCCTTATTGCTGGCAGTGCCCCAAAAAAATACTCTGAACAGCTGATATCTGATCTTCCCTACCCAACACAGCAGTAAAAATGTGGGGCAGGTGCCTGGGAGTCCACAACAGACTCATCATTCAGTTCTTTTCAATCCATTCTTTTTTTTCCTTGCTTTTGTATTGGTATCCAGTAACACGCAAATCTTTTGTTTGACCATTACTCGTGAAGTATCCAGTGTTTGGTTTTGGGTGCTCTTTGTGGAGTCACTGTTGTGCTTCACCTGTGGCATTGTCCTGCTGGTCTGTTCTCATGCGGTTGAAGTGCATTTTCTTCATGCTGCTGCTGTTAGCTGTTATAGAAGGAGAAAGTACTGTGTGCATCCATTAGTTTTTTTTAATCATTCACATCTCTCCCTCTCTAAAGGGCCGTTGCTAGTTTTAGTAGGGTTATGTTAAAGAAAAAATTGATGTTATCTTCTCTACTTGAGAGAAATGAATGTGACAACCTGATGTGAAGGCTGCCATTATTTACATATAAGCATGAGACCCAAGAATGAGAAGTTTGCTTCTGGAGAATCCTCAATGTCCAGCAAGTGTTTTTGTGGAACACTTGTTACTTTCACTTGTAGTTCACCTGTCAGCTTTTCACCTTGTACATCTGAGGTGGAATTGTTGTACTCATGGGCCCTAATGTCATCCAGTACATATTATTTAGTCCGTCTTATTATAAGACCATCTAACTCACTCAGAGGTTTTAGATGTTACGGTGATCTAACCAACTTGGTCAATAGCTCATCTTGTGTTGTCTGACATCGACGTTCAACCATCAGAACCATTAATTAATCTGACAGATGTGAGCTAGGTTTTGCAAAACGGAGAAGGATTTGGCAAACTGAGAATCTGGCAGTAGTCTGTGGTTGAATTTTAAAACCTAAATATGAAGGTTTCTATTTTGTTCTGTACTGTTCTGCTTGAAAGGATGCTAGTAGTTCCCAGAGGCTGAATCCACTGAAACACTGTAGGGGAGCTCTATTAGCTTGAGTCTAGGCATTTAATCCTGTACACAAACCAATAGGGCTTTAGAAGAATATATGTGTTCTCGAGCATGTAAACGGCACTATTTTTATAAATACGAGGATACTGTTAAAGTATTAGTATAAAGCAAGTTCCTGTGTGTGTGCCTCTGCTCCATTGTCACCGAAGCTGGTAGCTTAGCTTTTACTCTGTACGTGAGAAAATTCCTTAAAGGCTTTTCCTGAACACTTAAAATATACTACTGCCTTTTCAAAACAGCAAAAGAAACCCCTCTTTAGTCATTAAATTCTTCAAGGTAAACTCATCACAATTAACTGCCAATCTTTTACCTAAGAAAATAACGTTATTTTCTACCAGGCATAAAGCTTACTTAATAACTTTCTGCAAATAACTTTCATATCAAGATGACACAGAATTTGCAGAGGAAAAATCCTATTTAAATATCTAAAATGCTCATTTAATAAAATCATTAAATTAATACCCTTGATGTTAAGCAGCCTTCTGAGGGCCTAGCTCTGTTTTTCCTACTTGGACAAAACTTCAGCAACAGTCAATAGGATTGCTTTTTACCGTGAAAGCAGCTTTATCTGTCTTCTACTTTGCATTAGGCCAAACGAAGAG